TTCAGCCTAATAAACGTCCGTCACTTAGGACGGACGTTCACTCAAGTATAAACGTCCGTCTCGGCCAGGGACGGACGTTCAAAGGCTGCACATGGTTTTCACTGTTCAGCCTAATAAACGTCCGTCACTTAGGACGGACGTTCACTCAAGTATAAACGTCCGTCTCGGCCAGGGACGGACGTTCAAAGGCTGCACATGGTTTTCACTGTTCAGCCTAATAAACGTCCGTCACTTAGGACGGACGTTCACTCAAGTATAAACGTCCGTCTCGGCCAGGGACGGACGTTCAAAGGCTGCACATGGTTTTCACTGTTCAGCCTAATAAACGTCCGTCACTTAGGACGGACGTTCACTCAAGTATAAACGTCCGTCTCGGCCAGGGACGGACGTTCAAAGGCTGCACATGGTTTTCACTGTTCAGCCTAATAAACGTCCGTCACTTAGGACGGACGTTCACTCAAGTATAAACGTCCGTCTCGGCCAGGGACGGACGTTCAAAGGCTGCACATGGTTTTCACTGTTCAGCCTAATAAACGTCCGTCACTTAGGACGGACGTTCACTCAAGTATAAACGTCCGTCTCGGCCAGGGACGGACGTTCAAAGGCTGCACATGGTTTTCACTGTTCAGCCTAATAAACGTCCGTCACTTAGGACGGACGTTCACTCAAGTATAAACGTCCGTCTCGGCCAGGGACGGACGTTCAAAGGCTGCACATGGTTTTCACTGTTCAGCCTAATAAACGTCCGTCACTTAGGACGGACGTTCACTCAAGTATAAACGTCCGTCTCGGCCAGGGACGGACGTTCAAAGGCTGCACATGGTTTTCACTGTTCAGCCTAATAAACGTCCGTCACTTAGGACGGACGTTCACTCAAGTATAAACGTCCGTCTCGGCCAAGGACGGACGTCCAAAGGTAACACATGGTTTTCACTGTTCACCTTATAAACGTTCAGTTGTCTGCGTATTAAACGTCTGTCACATGGGACGGACGTTCAATCAAGTATAAACGTCCGTCGCGGGCAAGGACGGACGTTCAAAGAGCTGATAGGTGTTTACTAGTTCAGCCTATTAAACGTCCGTCACCCAGGACGGACGTTCAGAACATTATAAACGTCCGTCTCGACCAAGGACGGACGTTCAAAGGGGTGACACGTGTTCACTTGTTCAGCCTATAAACGTCCGTCACCAAGGACGGACGTTCATAACATTATAAACGTCCGTCTCGAACAAGGAAGGACGTTAAAAGGCTGACAGGGGTTCAATTGTTCACCCTATTAAACGTCCGTTTGGAAATGCTGGACGTCTATAATCTTATAGACGTCCGGCTAGATCCAGGACGGACGTCTACAGTTCCACTTATTTACTAATATGTCACCGGTCAATTATATACGTTGGGGCTTTTGTGGACGGACGTCTATTGGGAGATGTTAAAACCCCTTTCTGCACTAGTGATTTAATTCAATAGTAAGTATAATATAATCCGTTGAAGATGTTGAATGGTTGAATGGTGCAATTGGTATAATTCACATTAATATAATTTCATGTCTTTTTAATCTTTTATACGTAAGCATGACTATTGGCTGGAATAGGTGCGAATTTTTCTATCTTTTGCTCATATCATATGTCCTTTTCATTGTGTTTTTCGAATAGTAATTATTTTTAAAACATCACAATAAATAAAATATAATATTATCAAGTTTCTCTAAAATAATATATATACTGTCATAGTTATTTTTACGTCAAATTGTTTGTTGAAAATATTATTAAATTGTATTTTAATTTATAATTAAATAATCATATATTGTCTCAATATAATTTGAGACGTTAAAATTCATATTTTTATTGATTTTATCATTTCATTTAAAAATAGTTATTTTATTTAGGTGAAATGCTATCAATATCATACCTATGGTTTTAGAAAAAAAAGAACATAAAATAAATGTTTTATTGATATAAACAACTACATGTTTTGTCAATCCACTCTTTTAAAATTAGGGCATAATTCAGGTTGTTTAACTGTGAATTATTATAAATTTTCTAGTATTTAAGTTCGATTCATTTTTATACAAAAAAAATTAAGGCAAAACATTCAATTAAAAAAAGAAAAGCAACTATAGTTAAATTATCTGGGTAATTAGAAGGTATTAAATTATCAGTTCATTTTTTAAATATGATTTTAACCCAGATATTTAGTTATCAACGGTTACAAAAGCACCTAAAAAGAGGTTTAAGTAATAACATATATATTCCAAACAGGTTGCGTTTATTTTAAAATATCAAATTTATCCATTTCTTAAATAATAACAATAATAAATATTTTGGAATAGCACTGCAAAGTAATTTTGTTTTCTCAATGAATACTTTATTTTTATCTGTTGAAAATAGAAACTTGACTATAAATTATATATATACAAAATTAAAATAGAAACATTTAATAAATAAGATAGCTAGAGAGAGAAAATAAAGAAAATGGATTTTAAGACGAAAGGGAGAGAACAACAACCCTAACAAATACTACTATTAGGTACGAAACAACGGAACAGATATACCAACAGTTGTGTTGGATAAACCATGCTACCAGTAATAGTAATAATAAATAATAATATACTTATTTATTTTGTTAAGAAATACACTGCCACGTGTTCATCATAAAAAAACAAAACAAAAATAAAAAAGAAGGATAAGAGCATTTATGAAAAAACCAAAGTATCTCACACAAAAAAACAGTTTTTATCTTGAAATTTTGGTAAATAAATTTAAGATCTGTACGGTATGATTGGTCAGGTTTTTGCTTTGTTATGATATGTTGAACGTTCCAATAATATTAATCAGACTGTTAATTTAAAATTTATTTCAAAAATTATAAATACATATATGTAATTATATTTAATATGCATTAATTATTATAACTGTGAAATGTTTATTGTTTTTGACATCAAGTATTTTCTATATATAATCTTTCGATTTAGTCTAACAACAACGATAACTTAACAATGACAAACATACGAATATTTAGAATTTAAAACATACATAAATACAAGAAATATATAACATCGATCTTATAATCGAAACAAAATTTATTTTATTATAACTCAATTTTATCCATTATATATTTATATCACACCAATGATTCAAATGATTAATATATTTAAAAATTATAAGACCTTCTAATTTGAAATAGGTTGGTCCATGAAATTTTTAAAAAGTTATTATGAGTTAAGATAAAAAAAAAAGCTTATCATTATTTAATCTTTCTAGCTAATATTTTTAGAAGTATATAAAAAATGTGGGTTTGGCTGGGAAAAAAGAGAGGGTTAGTTTGGTACAACAACATGAGGTTGAGATTGAGAAAACAAAAAAGATTGTGAATTTGATAGACAGTACGTAGCAACTTTCTTGCTGGTTGGATTGTTCAGACATGCTTGTCTTCTCCTAACAACCTACTAACTCCATCTCATTCATTATCCACACATCACTTTTCTTTTTTCCTTCTTTCCTAAATATTTATATTAAATCCATTTTTTATTACAACATAAAAAAATCTATAAAAGAAAGTAAGAATAAAAAGTAATATTTATTCCAATATTGATGATGGTAATGGAGGAAATGGTCGAATAAAGAAAATGGTAGAGGGAGGTGCAATATTTCTATAAAAGAAAAGTAAGAATAAAAAGTAAATTTAAGTTTTTTAATATATTTTATTAAAAATAAAATAGAAATATTACTTTTTATTGGGGTGCAGAAAGAAAAAAGGGGCGCAGGAAGAAAAGGCCAGAAATTTGGGTTGAATGATTTGATTTGGGCCATTGATTGGGAGTTGCTCCCTCCACACCCACACATCTCTTCCTCCACCTCCCCTTTACTTTTTTGCCCCTTCCTCCACCTTTTCTTTACTATTTTGCCCCTCAGTAAAATTTTACTTTTAAAATTATTGTTTTTTAATTTTATTCATTTATAACATATTTAACTGATAACCTACGTAGTTCCTTGTATGAGTAAAATATTTTTCTGCAAAGCTTGGTGATCGTGAAAAGAATTATCAAGCAATCTTCCTCTTGTTCTCGGTACAGTAGGTGGTGCAGTGCGTTTATGGTGTAGTGTCCTTGTCGTGGTTCCTCTCCAAGTACGTAGTCATAATCCTTCCTATAATCCTAAAACCTAAAGCCTTCCCATACTTCCAATAATCCTTTTAATATCCAAGCCTATAATAATCCTTGCATGAGCCATAAAATAAAAACGAAACGAAAAAGCAACGCTGCCTCTGGACGGATGACATCCTTCAACGGATGTCAACATCCGTTTAAGGCGAAACGGATGTCGACATCCGTTTTGCCTTAAACGGATGTTGACATCCGTTTAAGGATGTCATATGTGGCCTATAGGTATCGACCCAACATGCAAGTAGGACAGCGTACGAGAAAGAGTTCAGACAGCTCTGGTTTTTGTGTTGCTCAATGGAAGAAGCACCTGAAGAACCATCACAATCACGAGAATCTTGGCGAGATCACCAAACTTGGATAACGTTACGTCTCTACAATTCTACATTCCACAATTGAAATTTTTTTATTCCCTTTCTTTCAATCCTTAACATCTATCACGCTTTTCAGCACACAAGACATTCTCAGGGAAAAGCTGATCACAGAGGACAGTTTCTCATGGAAATTATCCAGCGAAGGTGAACCTGGTTATAAGAAGGGAGAAGAATTGAGATGCGTTGGTGGGGTTGACATTAGCTTTTCAAAGGATGATCCATCAAAGGCATGTGGCACCCTTACGGAAATGGAGAAATGGAGAAGAAGCTTTACGGAAGAGTTCAGACATCCGTTTCGCCTATAAGACCTATAATTGTCATTTTAGAAGGATATAATTGGCATTTTAGAAAATTGGGGAGGTGGAGGAAGAGATGTGTGGAGGTGGAGGGAGCAACTCCCCCATTGATTTGACTAGATTCGGCCCATCAGTATATGTGGAATAGATTCCTAAATATGTCAGCCACTTATTTGGGCCATTTCAGCTCCACATGTGTATTTCATTAATTCTCAAAAAGTTTCGTTAATTATGAATTATGAATGTTCATTACAGTGAATCTTTTGTTCCAACAGTTACAATGGTTGGCAGTGTGCATTAGCATAACCCATTTTCAATGGCTCTTTCCAATCCCACTGCTACTCTGTCATTGAAATGCAAAATCGATTCCTACCCATCAAAGAAAAATCTTCTATTTCCATCGTCCTCACGACAAAAATCGAACACCCCTCACCTCGTATTACAAGAAACTGATTCTGCGAAGTGGAGGAACATGGTTTCATTTTTCCCAGGTTTTCTAACTAAAGGCAGAGATGTTGACAGCCTCAAGCAGGAGCTCTATGAAACAATTGCACCCCTTGACAGAGGTGCTGAGGCTACTCCTGAGGAGCAACAACGTGTGGACCAGGTCCAAGTGAAAACTAAGAATTCACATGTTACATCGTTTAGTGGTTATGTTTTTGCTGTGTCTTTTGGTTTCCTTGTTCCTGAGTTGTGATTATAATGGGTCTTATTGGTCTAGATTGCTCGTAAACTTGAGGCTGAGAATCTTGTCAAGGAGCCTCTCAAGTCCGATTTGCTCAATGGGAAATGGGAGCTTTTGTATACCACATCTCAATCGATTCTGCAAACACAGGTTTGTCTTTTGGGGTTTACGAATTAAGACCACTTTCTTATTACTCTTATTTTTGTCGGACTGAAACATGTGAATTTGGAAAACACTCTGTGTGGCCTATTTTGAATTTTTGATGAATTATTGTTTGGAATGCAAGCTTGAGTAGTCTAACGTTAGATACAAAAGAGAAAGGAGAACATTATATAAAACGGTTAATACATTATTTTAAGATTTTAGATACAAAGTAGTATCTTCAGCTCATATTTTGTTGGTGTTTCTATCTCATAAGAAAAATTTTGATGATCAGTTTTGATTTGTGAAAAAGTTAATTTTGCAAGGCTCTGATTGGTCATTGTATCGTTCTCAAATTTATTTCTTTTAACATTACTGAAGTGAGGATTAATTGTAGTGTAACTATCCCAGAGACCGAAATTCTTGAGACCAAATGGAAAGATCTATCAGGCAATTAACGTGGATACCCTGAGAGCTCAAAATATTGAAACTTGGCCGTTCTACAACCAGGTACGTACTGCAGTTCTAAGTTCTAAGTTCTAAGGATTATTAAGTATATGTTTATATGGATTGAAACACGCAGACAATGTTGACTTAGATTTCTTGTGAATTTTGTGTTAGTCTATGTTGTTGAAATGGAAACCAAAATTTGGTTAAGAGATGAGTTGTTCATTTCACAGATCACTAGTTTTTTTCTAATATGATTCTGGTTTAGATGAACATGAGCATGACAAGTCTAGAGACATCGTCTTGGACATAGTGTTACACACATGCGTTTTTACCAGTATGTTGCCATTGTTGCTGCAGGCCACTGCCAATTTGGTGCCTCTTAACTCAAAAAGGGTAGCTGTCAAGTTTGATTTCTTCAAGATAGCGAATCTGGTAGGTGATGCAGTGCTTCAAATTACTGTCATTATTACTATTTAATCAAACATCACATACTAAAATTTAACATAATTTATTCGTTTTAACTTCTATGCATCTCTGCATGTCATGAATTGCTATCTAGTTAACGTTCATGCTCCTTAAACATTCATATCATGATAGTGTTTCTTTCTTTCTTTCATTTTCTATTATTCTTTTTCCTTCTGTTTTTGCAATTCAGAGTTTTTTTACTGACAAATGAGTCTATTATGCTATGTACAGATACCAATTAAATCACCTGGGAGTGGTCGTGGTCAATTGGAAATTACTTATTTGGATGAAGATTTACGGTAAGACCGTGACTACAGTATAATTTGTTGTTCTGACTCACATTCTTGAGTTTCTTTTCTTCCTGGAATTCAATATTAATTGTAGTTCTAAGTCTGAGTTTCTTTGTCATGCCTGATCTCACAGAATATCAAGAGGTAATAGAGGTAATTTGTTCATCTTGAAAATGGTGGATCCATCCTATAGAGTTCCTCTTTGATGTGGATTCTCCAGTGATCGATTGTGGTGTCTCCAATTTTCCCTTTTTAACATTAATTAATGTTACTTGTAAAATTCAGCTCAGAACTTGATCCGTTTTGTATCTCTGGAAAATTATATTTTTATTAAGGGATATATTGGAAGTCTCACGTCGAGACAATATCAAATTATAATATATAACTGAATCTTACTATACAAATCGGTTTTATGGAGTTGAATTAGATTTAAAATTCACTTCTTAACAAATCGGTTTTATGGAGTTGAATTAGATTTAAAATTCACTTCTTAACATGATATCAGAGTCATGATTTGTGTTAACATTTCATTACAAAGGGAGGGTTTGACATTTTATGGATGAAAGGTACCATTTTTGAACTACCAATTAATTAAAAAAACCTTATGACAAAAAAAAAACTTTTGAATGACAGTTTAAAACTACTAATTAATTTTTCACTTTCACCTCTCCATCTCTAAGTAATGGTAGTTTAACCTACATTACACTCATTTAACACACGGATAAGATAGTTATAAAAAAAAGTGAATTTTTGTATTTATAAAAAATTGAAAGAGGAAAAGACTGTAAAGGAGAGTGTTATGTGTTAGAGATCACAATTTCCTCTCTATCCCTTCGTATCTATTTATTTACTTTCCCTTAAATTTTTAGGGGTATTTTAGTCATTAAATAGTTAGCTTTTGTATTTGTAAAAGTAAAAATAAAAATTAAAAGGTAAAATAGTAGATATAAAATGTGTGTAAAAATTTGCTTGATATCAACATAATGATATCTACTCTAGAATTTCCAGTGTGCTTTTTTCTATTGGATCTTAAAGAAGTCTTTTAAAATATTTTCAAATTCAATTGAATGTATATCTTTTTACGTCGTTATATATAATTTTTTAATAATGTTAGTGGAGATGGGAAAAATTAAATCAATTAGACAACAAGAATAATTCATTTGAGAATATCCTGAAATCACAATTTTGTTATGATTCTAATTCATTTGAGAAAATCATAAATTTTGTAAACTTTCATTTTACAAAACAATACACACTTCCACTTTGTCTCTCCCTCCATCTTTGAAATAGGTGTAAGGGCTGGACATCGGCTGACACAAGAAAGAAAAAAGAGGGTAAAATTGTCATATCCTCATACCCATGGCGTACAGAAAGAAAAAAAGGAGGTGCAATAAAAAACATCCCTACTTTTAAGAATATAGGGTTGAGGGTCACTCCCTACTTTTATACATTTTAGAAATCTTGTTTCAGAAAAATTTTAGAATAAATATTAAAAGTCATTTTAACGAAAAACAGGAAGTAAAACAATCATTTTCAAAAGTAGGGGTGCTTCCAATAAATTATAGGGGTGTAAGTAGAAAATACGAAATTTGTGACATATGCATACATGGAAATAATAATAATAATAATAAAAAAATAATAATGAAAAGACAAAACGTTAAACATGCGGCTGCCAGCATAACCAATAAGCAAGCAATTGAGTAACCGACCATAGAAACAGAACAGAAGGAAGAGGAGAGTGTGTGTTCAGATTCTGCGTGGTCAGGGATGGGTCCCAGGATCTGTTCCTCCGATGCTCACCACCTTCTCCATGCAAATCTCACACCTAGTTCCGCTCCTCTCCGTCGACGCGCCCAATTCCTCACCTTCGCCTCCAATTTCTCTCCGCCTCAGCCACAGGGAGGGGTTGAAGACGACGCCACGGCCAAGAAATCGTTTGCAGTGGCCACGGGGGAACTCTTCCTGGGGTTGGCGTCGCGGCTGATCAAGAGCCGCAACAAGGGAAGCAGCCTTGTCGGTGATTCGGGTTCGGTTGCGATGTTCGTGAATTCTTCAGGGAAAGTGTACGCCGAGGAGAGAATCGGGGCGTTGGTGGAGGACGAGATTGATCCGGACGTGGTTTGGGAGCAAAGAATGAAAGATGTTGAAGCGGAGCGGAATAGGTTCAGGCGCGTGGTCACCACCCCTGGCTTTAGCTTCTCTGCTGCTGGACTTCTCTTCCCTTACCATCTCGGTGTTGCTCAATTTCTCATTCAAAATGGTTACATTAAGGTTACCTATTGAGTTTATATATATTACATTATGCTATATTGGATCGATGCGTTATTGTGTATAATGGGAGAGAGTTTTGTGATGCTAGTGCAGGAAACGACGCCGTTAGCTGGTTCCTCTGCTGGAGCAATAGTGTGTGCTGTGATTGCTTCCGGAGCTAGCATGGAAGAAGCCTTGACTGCTACTAAAATATTGGCTGAAGATTGTCGGAATCGAGGAACTGCGTTTCGCTTGGGGGTATGCGTACCTCAATTCTCTCACTACTTTATACGCTTGCTCTCTGTTACTGATGATTAAATATATGGAATTTTGTCGGGCTATAATTTCTTCTGCTGTATCTAGGCTATATCACTCTTCTACTGTGTTTTCTTTTCTTTATTTTTGTTGCTCGCTTGCACTAGTAGTATCAGAATTTTAGATATTCTATCTTCACGAGCTAATTTGGAAATCACAGCTCCCTCTTGCACAAGTCTTTTTGTCTTGACGGCAGTACGTAATACGATTTGTACGAATTATTTGTTGCAGTTTGTAAGCCTCATACTGATCTTTCTCTTGATATGTTATTACGTGATTCTCTAGTTTTCAAATAGCCGAACAAAGTGTTCCTGTGCTGTAAGACAGCCTCCTTTGTATGAAATAGTTTGTTTGAGGTGCTTGGTGAGCAGTAGGTGTGCCCATTCACTTCGGAACAATTTCTGCTATCCAGGTTTGAAGGTTTTCCATAGAGAAAGCCCATGCAACAATGTACAATCTATGCACGTATTTGGTTGGAAATTTAAGGGTATTTTTGTTTCACACGAAATTATTACTGGATAGCATTGTGTGACTGGATATGACATTTCTAACGTGTTCAGGATCCAATAACTGTTTAACAGGGTTGCCTTTTCTTGTTCGTAACAAGATTGAACGGCTTTCATGCATTTTTTTCACCACCTACATTTTTTTATGCTGAGGGGGAATTTAGTGTCTATTTTAATTTGTTCCTTCCCTACTCTCCCTGTAGAAGTATTTTTTTCGTAAAATTAAATATAAACTCTCTTAGAATCATCCCTCAAAGTAGTCCTGAATGAAGATCATGTTTATCCGACAATGTTACAGTTATAGGTTGCAATGCAGAACCTTGGTACCCATGCCTTTGAATGTTTGACAATTCTGTCTAACTACAAGTGTGTTAAATAAAAACTTGTTAATCAGTTGTTGGCTCGGTCTATAATATGGACAAATGTAGTCTCATTTTGGATGAAGTGTGAATTGTTATAGTTTCTGTGGATTGTGGTTTAGAATTAGAACTGTCATCAATCAATTATAGCAGAAGTTTGAGTTGTTTGATGAAAGGTACGTGAATGGTTTTATATTACATTTCTAACACAATCCCCTGAAAGAGTCTTTTGGGGCTTGGGCTAGAAGCATGGACAATACGCAAGTTCTCTGATAGTGTGACATGAACCAACTTTGCCAAAAGCTTAAGCAATTAGATAAATACAACATGAATGCTTTTATATAAGATCTCCAACAAGAACCACAAAGACAAATAAGTGAAAAATGAAATGAGACTTTTGTGAATTTGGTGGTGGCCTAAAGAAAACCTGATAGTTAGGATTTGATTAGGCTAGTACTAGGTTATGTAATGAATGATAACCCCAGTTTTTTTTTTTTTTTGCCTTTAGAGCTATGTCATTTTCCTATGATACAATTGGAACTTTTGATTTTGAAAGTATCTGTTAGAAAATGGTAAAAGAAAAGCTGCTTTGACACTTTTACTAGATATATCTGCTTTTGAGGTATAGCTATTAATGAAACGTTATTCAATTGAATTGTGAGTCTCTGAAATTGAAATAAGAGCCTGCGAGATCTGCAATTACCTGTGAATATGTAACTAAATCATTTCCTTTAAGTTCAAATCTCACCATTTTGGTTCTATGTTTCCCTTCACAGGCTGTTCTACGTGATATTCTTGTCAAGTTTTTGCCTGATGATGTTCATATAAGATCTAATGGGAGAGTCCGAGGTAATTCTGGATGTTCAGCACCTCTGTTAGTTTTTCCATGAAACTGTCTCGTCAAAGAACAAAACTACACATCCTTTTATTAATTTTCTAGAGCCAGTGGAAGTAACACATGCTAAACTAGAAAAATATATAGCGTATAGTTGTCCACAAGAATTACACTTGTCAATTTGATTTTAAAATTGCATTCATAGACTCAGTTTATTATATTATTAAAAAAGTGAAAAAAAGGATTTATTTTTTCATTTGAACTTTTGGGCCAAAAAATGATGTAAAAGTTATCTTTATTAGTGGAGTAGAATTTTCAAGTCTTGCTGTGCCTTATGTTGCACTTCTGTTGCAGTTGCTGTGACACAGCTTCTTTGGAGACCCAGGGGTTTGTTGGTAGATCAGTTTGATTCCAAGGAAGATCTCATCAATGCAGTTTTTACCTCTTCCTTTATCCCAGGGTGATTTATTAGTACTACTATATTTCCTTAATTGAAAATGTGATTTTTTACTTGTTATAGATTATTAAGTAAATTTAAAACTTATACTCACTCCAGATATCTTGCCCCAAGGCCAGCAACGGTGTTTCGGAATCGGTTATGCATTGATGGGGGTTTGACTTTGTTTATGCCACCAACATCTGCTGCACAAACGGTATTTTTGTTATTTACTAATTGGACTATTGCTTCAATTGATTGATTATTTGTTGAAACCTTTGTTTAAGTGTTGAGGGGTTTATAAAATGTGTCCTTTTTTTTTCTTTGGTCTGTACTTCCTATAAATTTTATTAAAATTGAATGAAGTGTCGCCAAAAAGGGGGAATCCGGTGAGTTTCATAAGTTTTCAAAGTAAATAGCTGAGAACCAACATTGATTCAAGTCTGACTTCTCCGATCGCCTCGTCCCTTATCTTTACCCCTTCCACTAAAAAAATGTTGGAATGAGTACCAACAGAAGCTTTCGTCGCTTGTTCCTTGATTTTAGTTGCTTAAACTTCTTTTTATGCACTT